CCTTGGAAGATTTTTAGAATCCGTTTGCTCCATAACAAAAAAACATAAATGTTCTTAGAGAACACTGGGAACAAAAACAGTTCTTTATTATCAAATTAAGGTATTAGTTTAACCAGGAACTGTTGAGTAATTAGCGGTTCTTTGAATGGTGCAGATGATAAGTGAACTTCTGTTTGTCATCCTTGATTCCTTTCATTCCGTACACGGCTATAATGTCATCGCTCTTCCAGCAAGCTTGCTCTTGTCACCACATGCATTTTAGAAATTGTTATATCCTTTAAAAGCTACGCTGAGATTGATTTCGGGGTGAAATGCAGGAGAAGATGGACGTTAAAACTGGGAGAAATGAGAAGAGCCCACTGATTTCATGTTAACGTTGCACATTTCACTGTTTACATCCCCAAAGAGTCCAAACTGGGATTTATTTGTGGCTCACAGTACACTGACAAGTGCAGTTAAAGGAGAACTAACTAACTGAACTCCGCTTAGCCTCTTTCTCCTCCATGCTTCACTTTAAATAAATTGCAAAGGGCATCAAAGAGAAATGAGTCATAAATCTTCTCGTTCAAGCCCTCTGGAAATTTCAAAAAGGGTTCACACGAGGGCGGCTGAGTGTGCAGAAGAAACTGTTCAGTTTCAGTGACCAGCCAACCTCCCGGAATATCATCATCTGTCCGGTTTAACCATGTAAAGTGGAGCAGGGACAGATCTGCTCTTCCCTCACACAGACCATCACTCATGAATAAATCATATCTAACAAAAGCGCTTGCTGAGGACACCCGTATTTTAAAGCTTCTCTCATCTCCGCTTCATGTTTCTGCCGTCCTGCACAGCTTCATTCCCACATGTCACGTGACAATTTTCCACACAAAACAATCCAGCTCATCCGCTGTGCTTGGACTAAAGTTTCAGCTGCATGTGATGTGAACTGTCCCGATTCGTGATTGAAGTGAGAGACAAACGACTGCTGGTCCAAGTGCATCAAAACAATGATTTGATTAAACACATGTGTGGAGGAAATGCATCATCACAATCCTCAGCATGTGTCAGGGTATAACGCCCCCCTCAAAGCAGATACATAACATGGATAAGTTACAGTAACCACAGCTCCACGCCAGGTGCTTCCTGTTGATCTTCTTACTCTCGCTTATCTCGGGAACATCAGAAACACATCTTACAAAAACTGTCATTTATTCAGGCACAAAATGCAGTTACAAGCAAAATATGTCTGAACTCTTAACTAGAAATGAGTCTATATACTGTGTGTGTGTGTGTGTGTGTGTGTGTGTGTGTGTGCAGGCAAACTGTGGGTGTCTCGACCTCAGTGCACTCTGTCTCACCTCTCACCTCGCCAACTAAAGCTTATAACCTCTTACCAGACAGAAGGCCAACTCTTCTGTAAGCACATTTGCAATATGTGTAATAACATAACTGAAACTATATGTGTAATATATTGAATAAATGTTTTAATCCACTACTCAAAGCTTAATAAAAAGGATATAAGAGAATAAACATGATATTAAAATGAT